GATGCTGATTTGATGTGAAAGAAAAACATTGTTATTTCGTTGAAAACGGTATAGCTGATAAGTTCTAAGTGAACAGGGCCGTCTCAGTGGCGTCGGGCGCTGTCGGCCAGATCGTCGGGCAGCTGGCGAAGATCGCAGGTTGCTATGTGGTCGGCAGCGCCGGCTCCGACGAGAAGGTCAGCCTCCTCGAGACCAAGTTCGGCTTCGACGACGCGTTCAACTACAAGTCCGAGACCGACCTCGGCGCCGCACTCAAGCGGTGCCTCCCCGACGGCATCGACATCTACTTCGACAACGTGGGCGGCGCGACGCTGGATGCCGCGCTGCTGCACATGCGCCTCAGCGGTAGGGTCGCCGTCTGCGGGATGATCTCGCAGTACAACCTGGAGGAGCCGGACGGCCTGCGCAACCTGTACTGCGTCGTCCCCAAGGCCATCAGGGTGGAGGGGTTCAGGGTTTTTGACTACTTCCATGTGTACCCGAGGTTCGAAGAGGAGATGCTTGGGTACATCAAGGAGGGGAAGGTTGCCGTCGTGGAGGACGTCGTGGAGGGCATTGATAGGGCACCGTCGGCTCTAATTGGGTTGTTCTCCGGGAGAAATGTTGGGAAACAGTTGGTGGCGATTGCAAGGGCCTGATGAGTTGAAGCAGTCACTCAGTTGTAGTGTGTGCTTCTAACTCAGGCACAAACATATTTTTTATAGCCTATCCCTACCAATTGTTTTGTGTATTTGTGATGCCATCACCATCAGACTGGCCAACTCGGTGTAGTTAGTGACATGGTAGACTTACAATCTGATAGGATAATATAGCCTATCCCTAGCAATACCTGATATAATAAGATGGCATCGTTATTGTATCGAGAGAAAAATAAAACTTACTTACGATTTGCATTTCGTCAGCATATTCACATCTAACTGAATGCCAGCTTATTATATGATTGCAATAACAATTCTTTTATTCTTTTTTTTAAGAATTACACAGTACAACGCAGACACCCACAACACGCACGCACACTCACCCGTATGAACAATGAAAGGCAAAAGGTACATAACGTCTACTTGTAATTCACTTCCACTTGAAGATCAATTCAGTCAAGATGAATCATCAAAACAGTCTGATCCACAGTTGTCTTAGTCTGTTGGTTTACTAAGGTGATTCTGGAAGCAAGCCGAATGATCCGGCTTCAAAGACCAGATGGTCTAGTTGCGAACACAAGCTTTATACGTGTCCTTGTGTGCCGAGTTGAATATTAGTGCTTGTCAGGAAAATGATAAGACTTCGGTTGAGTTTGGCACTACGCTAGTCCGGTTTTAGGTGGGCTCTAGCAGATTTGTAGCAACGGTTTTGGCAACCCTCCCTACCAAACCGTTGCTACAAATCGCTGATTTGTATGGACGGTCGGTCTTGTAGGGGCGGCTGATGATTTGTAGGGACGTCCGTTTCCAAAAATTCACAAATTCGGGCAAAAAAAAAAATAGCAAAATTTTTTAATCCAAGGAGGCCTCCACTGGTCAGCCACCCTACCAAACCATAGACCGACGGGATTTGAACCCGCGACGTACTCCTCGCGCGTACCTTTATCTACCACTCCACCTCACACTCACTTTTGTCTATTATAGATTTCTTGGCTCACATATTATCCTAAACCGAGTATAAATTAATTATTTGAGGCCCTAAACGAATTGAAATGAAAAGTTGTCAACTACAAAGGTGTATAACTTTTCGAGATCTATAACTTTATTTTGGTAGTTTCTCCATCTGAGATCGTTTACAAAATTTAAATTTTGAATTTGAGAAATTCAAACGTTGTTTTCCTTGACAGGATGACTTCAAATCAAAAAGTTATCAGATACAAAGTTGCATAACTTTTTAAGATCTACAAATTCGTTTTTGCTGTTTGTCCATATGAGGTCGCTTAAAAAATTCAAATTTCAAAATTTTGAAATTCAAATGTAGTTTTCCTTGAAAAGATGATTTCAAATAAAAAAGTTATCAACTATAAAGTTGTATAACTTTTTGAAATCTACAACTTTCATTTTGGCTGTTTTCCCATCCGAGATTGTTTGAAAAATACAAATTTCAAATTTGAGAAATTCAAGCGTAGTTTTCCTTGATAAAATGAATTCGAATGAAAAAATTGTCAACTACAAAGTTCTATAACTTTTCGAGAGCTACGACTTTTATTTTGTACATTTGTTCATCCCACATAGTAGTAGTAAACTATAAGAGAGATATGTAAGATTTGTAAATAATGTTACTACCACTTTGTCGGATGAAGAAATGACCAAAAATAAAAGTTATAGAGCTTGATGAGTTCTACAACTTTTATGTTCATGATTTTTTTAGCTGAAATCATTTAATGTTTCAAAATAACGTTTGATGTTGCCATTTATTGAAATTCAAAATTCAAATTGATAAAGCACAATCACATAAAAATATGACCAAAATAATAGCATAAGAACACAATAAATTGATAGAGCATGATTTTAGAAAATTTTAGAAAAAAATCATCAAATTTGAAGTTAGTACGAGGGAGAAAGACTAGTTAAAAATTTTAGCCAGAGATTAAAAAGAGAAATCAGAGTTCTTCAATAATTTAAAAATTAAATTTCTAACACTATTTTGAAATAGTAAATGATTTCAGATGGAAAAGTTGTAAACAACAAAGCTCTATAACTTTTCGAGATCTACAACTTTTATTTTGGTCATTTCTCCGTCTGAGGTCGTTTCAAAAAAATTTAAATTGTAGGACTTAATTTTTACTATTCAACGTCTATTTACAGGGGCGGCTCAATATAGAGCTGCCCCTACAAATCATATTTGTAGGGGTGGCTGGATATAGAGCCGCCACTACAAATAGGTCCATTTGTAGGGGTAGCTAATAACACCAGCCGCCCCTATAAATCCATTTGTAGGAGCGGCTCGTTTGAGAACCATTTGTAGGGGCTTGTGGTGTGTAGCACTAGATAGTTGACGGGTATGGAGAAGGTCATGTAGAGACTAACCCAGTGTGAGTGTGGAGGCATTGCTACAAATCATTTCTGCAGTAGTGTGGAGGCTAACCCTAGTGTGAGTGTGCGTGCAACATGTATCTTTGCTTGTGGTGTGTAGCACTAGATAGTTGACGGGTATGGAGAAGGTCATGTAGAAACATGCCATGACGATGGACTGGTAGCGTTGAAGGATAGACGTAAGGCTTAGACTGAGTGACTGAGGTGCCACAAGACTGACTGTGGCTGGTTGACACATGGGGACATTGACGAGCAAGAGCTCATGTGGAGCAGTGGACCGTATTGACCAAGTCTAGACAATGGTTGATCAAGTCATGCGGAGGTGCTAGAGGACTTCGTGATTGGGTGGTCGAGGCATAGCGGATACGCTTCTTAGGGTTTTTGGTGGTTTGGGATTCAAAACCACCAACGGACACGGTTTCTCGAGTTTGAGCCTCAAAACCCGATTGGAGTTCAGGATGGACTCGGAGGTGGCACGTGGCATCATCTTGAAGCTTGCGTCGAGGTGAAGTAAAGTCATGAAGAGCTCGTGGCAGTCTGATGCACCGATCAAGAGTTGGACCATTTCACCCTTGGGTTAAGTGGTTCAACACAAAATATCTAAAGGTATGTTGAGAATGCGTAATAGGCCTATAAATAAGATAGAACACTACTGCAGATTGATTTATCACTGTCTCCACTTTCAATGCCGTAGCGATAGAAGCGACAGTGTTATACTTCCACCGTCGGTTGGACCGATAGCGAGGCCTCCTGAGGAAGGAAACCGACAGTTGAAACTTCTACCACCGACGGGGTTAACAATAGATGCAGCAATGATATTTTCTCAATCGTATGAAAATCCGAGCCGACTAGGATACGTGTTATGGCCGCCGGCCCTCCATGACTGTTTGGTCTTCAGGCGGTAAAGTCAGCGTGTGTTATTTCCCAACTACCCACAACACAGTTGCATCACCATTACTTACACTTCTCCATCTTCAGGGTTGGCCTATTTAACCAGGGTCTGGATGCACCTCTTGGGCTCAATCCACACACACTCGTGAGCTACTATATCTTTTCTCATTGTCAAGAAATGCTTTGTCTTCATCCTTGCACCTCTCACGGCCTCCTCCTGGCCATTAGAGGTGCAAGATGGAGATAAAGCACCTCACAGGATGTTTGGAGGAGGCCCTCAAGATTGAGTGCTTTAGATTCCATAACCTCGTTGCCCCTTAGCATCGAGATGTAGATCTGCATCCCTCAACGCTAAGAGGTAGCAAGATTATAGAATATAAAGAACCTTACTGAAATGCAGGTGCAAGTTTTGCGAGGTGCTCCTTCTCCATCCTTGTCAAGGTGCTGCCACTGAACAGGAGCTTGACCTTGATCATTACAGATCTTCTTGCCGATCTTGTGTTAACAAAAGATCTGTAATCATTTGGTTCTCTCCTGTTCAGGGGCTCCATACTCGATTAGGGGTGCTTGAACTGCTGCTGCTGCTGCTACCCATTAACTGCATTTACTTTCCCGCCGCTGGTGATATATACATATAGCTCACGTAGTCATGCTCCTTCCTTTCCCCTTGCCATTGAAGCACGCCGCTCCTGCGATCCGAAAGCAAAGCACCTTGCTCTGAATGCACTAGACAATGATATTTCTAACTAAGAACACGAGCTTCAACATCACAAACCTAAATGATGTTACGATTGCTACATACATAGTTGAGTCAGAAGTGGATGCAAGCCATGGTGGCACGATGGGTGGGTCGTCATCCTCTGCAAATTATGTGGTCACCTCGGTCTATGGGCCGACAAACTATGCCGAAACAAAGCAACCTTTCTCAATGGGCTGATTGCCAGCCAACCGATATCCTGCATGCCTTGGGTGTGCCTAGGGGATTTTAATTTGATCTATGAAGCCCAGGACAAAAACAATAATAATCTAAACCGGATGCAGATGAGAAGGTTCAGGCAAGCTTCCTCGGCGTACAATGTCCAATTTGAAGGCCAATTAGCTTGGTTCTCCCAACTGTTGACAGCCGGAAACAAAACAAGCCACAGCCATGGTTTTTGAGGCGTCGCCTAGGCATTGAGGCGTACCCAGGCGCCGCAGGACGCCACAGGGTTTTAGTTACGCCATACCGCCTAGGCATCGCCTAGAAGGCGCCTAGGCATCCAGGCGTACCCCCAGCGCCACAGGACGCCGCAACACCTCAAAAATCATGGCCACAGCTTGGCTATCTTGACTCTATGCAGCATTTGGAAGCAAAGAAACACAGTGGTGTTCAGGGATTGCAGAAAAGGGGAGCATACTCTGTTCTCGGACTTGAAGGATTTGTGCCAGCAGTGGTCTTTAGCGGGAGGGAACTTTCTGAAGCCCCTCATAGTTGTGCAAAATCCAAGTGTGTAATAACAAGCTTTGAAATATTTCTGTACCCCTTGTAGCCTAGGCTGTGAGGGGGAGCAGTTCTCGCGCATGTAATAGTTGTTGCTAACTCTCTCTTATTATAAATCAAAGCTGCATAACCAGATTTTTCAAAAAAAAAAAAACTTCATTTTTCCAATGTAATATAAAATTGCTCTCTGCACAGCAACGCATGGGGAATTCAACTAGTATAGCAAGATATGATTGATGCAAAGGACATGCTGAATTCCAGAAGTGCATATGGGTGGTAGGAGAACATGGCATTGCAAATGATCGGCATGCATACTGATTTATGGACTAATGTGAGAGAAAACATACGCACCCAGTTTAAAGTCTTGGCACGGTCGGTGGGTAATGTCCTGTTTACTGGGCAACCATTGTTGTTAACCACTGTGATGTCAATGTCTCGGTGAAGCAATAAAGCAGCCACCATCTTTGGATCGCACTTCTGGACTGCGACATGCAGAGCAGTGTCTCCATTTTCATCTCGCATGTTAACGAGTTTCTGAAGCCGTGGCAAACCCAGCACAAACTTTACGAACTCCGTCTGTTGAGACTGTACAGCTATGTGCAGACATGTCGAGCCTCTTGTATTGTAACATGGAGCATCTGGACAATGTTTAAGAAGCTCCCGAGCAACATCAACATGGCCACGATATGCGGCAGAAACAAGAAGAGGGTTACCTAATGTCGAGACTTGGTACCCTAAAGACCGATCGTGTTCCAACAATACACTTAGCACGTCACTCTTGTGCCAACGTACAGCCAGATGCATTGGAGTGTTGCTACTCTTGTCTTCTTCTCTGGCAAGCCAAGGACGTGCCTCCATAATCTTGTTAGCGATGGCTGCGAATCAAGGACGGTTAGCAACCATGGAATAATGGCAACTGCATGTATGTATTAGTTAAAGATGAGTTTTGGTATAAAAAAAAACGTTGCCCTCTTGTGTAGTAGGTCACACCTGAATTACCGTTCCACACCGAAGCATGCAGAGCATTCATGCCATCGGCTCCTCCATGAGCAGAATCACGAATCTCAAATAGTTTATCGAAGACATCCTCGTATTTCCTCATCACCGCGAAGAACATGGGTGACTCACCGTACTGGTTCACATAATGCGACAGGGCAGGCTCTGCTTGCATCAGCTCCAGCGCGAGCTTCATGTGTCCGTTGCGTATGGCGTGGTGCAGCGCATTGCATCCACGCTTGTCTTGCTTCAGGATCGCCCCACTCAGCTGCTGATCACGACAGCACCTGAGCAAAACAGAAGCTACAGAGAGACATCCGCTCGCCACGGCGGCAAGCAGAGGGGTCTCGCCGTCCGAGTTGATGGCAGTGAGGAGTGACGGGTTCAGAGCCTGGACCTCCTTACAGAACACTTCGTGCCCATGGATGGCGGCGATGCGTTCCCCTGAGGAGTGGTTCCAAGCACGCCCGGAACATGCAGACACAGGTGCCTCATTTCTGCGACATGACCAGATACTGCTACATCCATGGGTCGTTCCATCCCCTGAGGATGTACAGCTTATTACACAAACAAACAGGAGTACGTTTTAACAATTGACATAACATACACGATTACACGGAGAAACCATACGTACCGACGTGAAAGGCTCTGCGTGGATACTTAGATTACTAAGGTACAACTGTAAAACAGCGACCATGCTCATCATTGTTTGTCTTTTTCGTTCGTCACCTGCTGGCATTATTCTGGCTGCGAGTTGCAGAGCGGTTTCTCCTGTGTCATTGGGCAGGTTAATAAGATGCTGAAGTTGTGGAGATCTCGCGACAAACCTCACAAAATCTTCCTGACCAAATGATATAGCTATGTGAAGACATGTCGAACCCATTGCGTCGAAGTAGGGAGGATCAGGACAATGTCTAAGAAGCTCTCGAGCAACACCAACATTGCCCTCAGATGCTGCGATACAAAGAAGAGGAGCACCATCACCATCTGTGGAGATGAAATAACCCAAAGACGGATCATGTTCCAACAATACTCTAAGCACGTCAATCTTGTTCTCAATTGCGGCCAGGTACATTGGTGTACGCTTTTCTTCATTTCCTTGTCTGACTAGCCATGTACGTGCCTCCATAACCCTTTTAGCCATAACTGAAACAAAACCAAGGCAAGAAGCAGACTATAGGTGACCAAGCTGAGGACATATAGTACTGTATTAGATATCAAGTGTCTGTTAATAAAGTAATAAGTGAATTTCACAGCCTGTTGGCGATGCATAGGTCTCACCTGCATTACCACTTGTCACAGCAGCATGTAGAGCGTTGCACCCATGGGATCCTCCATGAGCCGCATCAGGAATCTGCAACAGCTTCTCCAAGACGTCCCCATAATCTCTCGTTACCGCGATGAACATGGGTGACTCATAACATTTGTTCACAGCTTTCGATAAGGCGGGCTCTGCTTCTATCAGCTCCAGTGCGAGCTTCCTATATCCCCTGAAGATGGCATGGTGCAGTGCGTTGAATCCACGCTTGTCTTACTTCAGGATCGTCTCGCTCAGCTGCTGATCACAGCAGAACCCGTCCATCCATCTGCGTTCCTTCTGACGAACTAACCGAAGCCTAATTGCAAATAAAAACACTATCAACTGTTTGCAAACCTTCCGAATAATGACCTATATACTGCAGAAAAGAATACTTAGCAAACCATTATTTGGACCTACAGATTAATGTCATGGAAAAAGGTATCTGTTAGTATATTTTTTTACAGTCACATACAGAGAAACAAAATACTTACGGGGTTGTTGTTAATATTTTTTTCTCTGTCACCTAGAACAGACGCTATCCACGTTAGCCCTCTCCTCCGTGCTGGATGCAGAGCAGTTTCTCCACTGTTATCTGCCATGTTTATAAGATGGCGAAGCTGCTGAGATCCCAGGACATATTCTACAAACTCTGCCTGACCATTTAATACAGCTACATGAAGACATGTCAAGCCATTTGCATCGCAGTAGGGAGCATCGGGACAATGCTTAAGCAGCTCTCGAGCAACACCAACATGGCCCTTAGATGCCGCGATACAAAGAAGAGGAAAACCGTATGTGGAGATTAGGTACCCTAAAAATGGATCATGTTCCAGCAGTACTGTAAGCACGTCGACCTTGTTCTGGTATGCAGCTAGGTGCATTGGAGTATATTTATCCTCACTTTCTTGTCTGGCTAGCCTAGGACGCATCTCCATATATAATCCTTCTAACGATAGCTGAAACCAAATGAAGTAGCAGAAAATGGTTGAGAACCATGGAACGATGAAAGCTAGCTGACGATAAGTAATGGTTGTACTCTAAAGAAGACTTCACGTTAATTCTCAAAAGTTGTGTTTACGCAAAAAAATAAATCCTAAATTTGAAAGATATTTTAATATAACCCCATAATTTTTATATAAATTACCCACCTCTGTTGTTATAAAAAATTATGCTCCTCTATCCTCTGCTCTCAGTATCTTCCTTGAATCCTTCCTCCTATGCACCTATGACTCTACTCTCTATCATCTTCCTTATCTCTACTACTTTCCCCTCGGCGCCTAGGAAACACCTAGGCGCTCCTAGTCGTGTCTAGGCTTTAGGTGGAATTGGAGGTTACCGTTTAGAGAGCGTCTAACACCTTTTTCTAACTTTGATCTAAGTTATCCATTCCCGATGTAATAAAAATAAATTAAAATATATTCTAAATCTACAGATAAATACTAATATAATTTATTAACAAAAATAGCCTAATAACCCTATGCTATATTTATACTTCTAAATAACATATTTCTACCACATTTATGCTATATGTTCTGCAGTGTAGACTAAGTAATGATCTACTTCAGGATTAATTTTTGTTTTACTAGTTTATCAAGCATGGAAAATATTTCTTTAACAAACCACATATCAATATTAAAGACACAAACAATACACTTTAAATTATATTAGTACTCCAGATATTAAATTTTCTATCACTTTATACATTTTGATAGAAGCATTATGACATACCAAGTTAAACATATGTATGTATGTGTGTGTGTGTGTGTGTGTGTGTGTGTGTGTATATATATATATATATATATATATATGTTTCCATATTACAACTTATATTAATATTAATATTACATATTAGAAATATAATTAAAGTAAACATACAAGTTGCGTCGTAAGTACGCATGCATACCTATTCGATAAATATATATGTTATGTTTTAGTAATCATGAAAAATATTTTCATAGCAACATATATACTAACGAATACTAACAAATCATTTAAAATTATTATATTAAAAAACATGACATATAACTTACAAAAGTGGTTATTTAAGATAAATGTATATATTTCAACTAAAATGGTTGACGTTAGTCTATATCCTGATAGTATAATCATAGGAACTCATTTTTCTAAATAAAGACATTTTCACACATATAATCCTTGATTAGAAAATTCAAACAACTTGAGAAGTTACGATGTTTAGTGTAGATGACCAAAGGTTCTATAACTGTCTAATCTTTGAGATTAATATCCTCTTGAGAGATTAGCACCGCTACCCCATCTTAGATATCCCTTTAGAGTCTAGCACCGATCATAAGCATTAGTGTATAGATCTTAAATAACCATTATGCCTTTATAGTACCGAGGAATGCATTTTACAACGTAGAACCCTTGTTTTAAATAAAATATAAAAGAATGGCTAATAAAAGATAAAGCATGCACATGAATTTCATTATTTTAAATAAAATATAAAAGGATAGCTAATAAAAGATAAAACTTGCAAATGAGTTCAAGCTTAACTTGAGGATAAAAAATCTGTAACTAAGAATAAGATTAAGAACTAAAAGCTACATAACTATCTAGATTCATTGTGTCAAGATACAAGGTAAGACAAGAGCCATCATAGTTTAAGCTAATGTTTCTAGATAAATACAGAGATGCATTGCAAAGAAAAAAAATTATGGATGGAAAAATATTAGTACTTCCTACGTTCCATATGGTACGTTACTTTGGCCTTTATTGATGCTGAATTCTTGTAAAACATAGTATGTATCTAGATAAATAAAAGAAACTATATATCTAGAAAAAACAAAACTGCTTACAATTGCAAACAGAGGGAGTAGTTGATTAGTTATCCCAAATAGTGACTAGAGAGCACTCTCATTCTCTTTAATAAGACGCACATGCATATCGGAGATTTAAACTTTAAAATATTTAACCAATAAGCTAATAATTTTTAACTATTATAATATGAAATTGATATGGTTAGATTTGTAATCAAATTTAGTATCCAATAATTGTAAATTTATAAGTGTAGACAATATAATATAAAACAAATGAATGATCACAGTGTAATTTAGGAGAATATGTATTTCAGACTGCGCCTTATAAAACGAAACAGAGGGAGAACCTATTAAGCCAATTGCGTTCGAAAATGAACAAAAAGTAAAAACTTGCAATTTAATATAAATAACTTTTATTAGTCATAGATATTAAACAGTAACATCTAATGCTTATGTCTCCTAAAATTCTAGCCCTGGCGGGAGCAAAGGTTGATGGATAGCTTTGTGAAGAATACAGAAAGTTCGAGAATGCATATTAATCAGTTAGCCGCATGGGCATTCGTACAGCGAAAGTCTCACCTATATTTTCATTTCTGACAGCACCATGGAGAACATTGAAGCCAAATCCTCCAGAATCAGAAGAATCTGAAATCTCCAACAATTTGTGGAACACCTCTGTAAAATTTCTCACTGCCGCAATGAACAGAGGTGACTTGTTGCGACTGTCCATAGCTTTCGACAAGGTAGGCACTGCCTCTATCAGCTCGAGTGCCAGCATCCTGTGTCCTCTGCGGATGGCGTGGTGCAGCGCGTTGCATCCGTGCTTGTCTTGCTTCAGGATTATCTCACTCAGCTGTTGGTAACGGCAGTACCTGAGTAAAACAGAAGCTAAAGAAGCGCAGCCCCTTGCCACTGCGGTGAGCAGCGGCGTCTCGCCGTCTTTGTTGACGGTGGAGAGGAGCGCCGTAGCCGGAGAATGGTCCAGCATCAGGATATTCTTGCAGAAGTCCTCGTGGCCCTGGATGGAGGCGATGTGGAGGCAAGTGTTTCCTTGTGGAGTCGTCCCGAGCAGCACGCCCGGGCCATCAAGAGCCAGTAGTTGCTTCACTGATGGAACATCACCGGATGTGGCTGCTTCCAAAAGACGCCGGTCCATAGACGCTTCCTGTGACGAACTCATGATACGTGTACCCTGGTGCGATCAAGATTCTTTTTTTGGTGGGCGGCCCGCCGTGACAAACTGGATTCTAAAAGCACGTCATATAGTCCAGCAGTTAGACTCCTAAAATTGTAACAACGCATTATAATATCAAGTATTTAAGTGTTCCAATGATCTTGGCAAAAATATATTTTTATATCATCTTTTGTTTTCTTTGTTTTTTTGTGAGATTTTGTTTTGTTTGTTTGTATCGTGCCAGCTTTTTTTTTTTTTTTTTTTTTTTTTTTTTTTTGCCTTCAACTCAAAGCAACTCTATGAAGCTGTTTTGGTAAACCGTTCAGTAGAAAAACAGCTCCTTCTGGTCAATGAAAAGAATGAAATGGTCATTATACCCTTCTTCATTCTTTTCTTCTTTTTTTTTTCCTTTTCATCATCTCCTCTTTCTTCCCCACGCCAGCCTTTCTTCTCCTCTCTCTCAACGCCTCTCTTCCCCACAGCATCAATGCCTCCCTTCATGCCCCACTATCCGCACGCCTTTACGCCCTGGCCCTTGCTGCACTACCACCCTTCCCGTGCAGGCAAGCAACCTCCGCCCCTCCCCGGCGGCACAGCCCATCCCCAACAGCGCGGCGTCTTGCTTGTGTCACAAACCATCCCCGCACAAGTGCGTAGCCTCTGCCACGCCCCATGTTGGCCTCACCTGCCATGGCTGTGCTCGCAGGAACAAACCATGGGGGACAAAGCCAATCATTGCCGCAATGGACACCCTAGGAGAAACCAGATATTTCAGCTCTTGTTCTCCCTCCTCGCTTGTCTCAGTGGAAATTATGGGGCTCATGGCATGAAACTAACAGCTCTGATCTGCTTTGTTCATATAATCTGTACCAAATGGGTACTAATTGATGCATTTAACCAGAGGTAATAAACATATACACTGTTAAAGACTGATATTTGTAAGGTAACTATGTCAAAAACCGTGACTTAATTACCCAAAAAAAGTTACTCCATATATAATACATAATATCAAATGTAAGTTTCCCATTCTAGTAACACATGTTGATTAACCAAACTAATTTGTTTTTACCTTTGTATTTGTGCCTATACCCATGGGTGCACTTGGCCATTGAAACTCCAGGGCACCATTATTACTTATATTTTTCTAACAACAGATAAACATGAGCTCATGTTATGTTACATATACATGTGTTGGAAAATGATCTCCGGTTTTGGAGAGGATGAGCCAACACTAGACCCGTTGCACACCAAGGGGAGTGTTACGTTCCCACCTCGCGCCACCATCAGAAATGCAACTAACGACCTATGGTTGCAGCCCCAGGGTGAACGGCACTACAATATAATGGGGTGGACATCATTAAGTCGAGCCAGCCATCTCAAGCAGGACTCTGGGTATCCTATGGTTGCGGCCCCAGGGTGAACGGCACTACAATATAATGGGGCGGACATCATTAAGTCGAGCCAGCAATGAGTTAGTCTCCAATCCACTGTCGTGTTCATGCAACTAGATTAGAGATCCTGTGCTAACTCCCTATTTTATCCAATATTGTCCCTTCTTCCTCACTGATCATGGTTAGTCTCCAATCCACTTTCGTGTTCATGCAACTAGATTCTCCTGTGGTTAACTCCCTATTTTCTCCAATATTGTGGCATCCGAGCCTCCTAATCTACTTTGTGAAACCCTAAGATGTGGTTTATGCCTCGGATTAAGTTAATTTTGAGGTAAATTAATTAATTAGTGCCAAATTGGTGCCCTACTGCTCAGCATTTAGCCCTATTGCTCTCGGTTCAATCTCATTGAAGGTTGATCAAGTCTCTGACCATGATGAACCATGCAAAATCAACGCGCATTAAGGAGCATTTGGGGCTAGGGTTTTGGATTAGCGCACAGAAGGAGGGAAATTTGCGAATCTCAGTTCAGTTGAAGCTTTCCCCAAATTCCAAAACCCTAGATCATGAATCCCCAAACCTTTGCTCGAAATTGAACCCTAAATCTCAAGACCAGTGGCATGAGTCAGCGGATTAGTACCAGCTTTGGCGCTTTGGCCTTGGAACGGAGGCAGGATAACTGTTAGCTCGCTGACTTCACCATCCCGTGCGCACGCAGCAGCCGCTACTGTGGCGGATGAGGGCACCGCTGCTGCCAACACGAATCAGGGCGGCTCAGTCGCGCTGCTGCCACCGCGCATCAAGGGGTCACTGTCGCCGCCGAGCATCAGGGCCTGCTGCAACCCGCCGCTGCGGATAAGACGCCGCCGCCGCTCAGCGCATCAAGCCGCCTCCCTGCCGCAGCTGAAGTCTCCCCACGCGCCATCTTCCTGGGCACCGGCTGGGGGCGCTCGACGGAGCCGCACACAGCCGTGGTCGCGTGCGTGCGCCGGCAAGAGGCCCCGGGCCGGGACCTTTTCACCCTTACGCCGATGCTGGGCAGCGCTCGTGCCGTCATCACTCCGGCCGGCCGGCCGGCTCTATCGCACTCTCTCTCGGCAGCAGAGAGTGAAAAGCAGAGGACGGAGAGCAAACGAATGTGCTAGGGTTTTGACGGGTTCGCGTTTTGTTCGAGGACGGAGTCGCCTAGACCATCGATTATGATCCGACGGTGGAGAGTGGATCCAGTGCTAGCAGGTCTGCGGGAATTTTGTATCACACACGAAAACACAGCCCAGGCCCAGGTTGCATTGCTCCTAGCCCAGGTGGGTTAATGTGCTTTGCTCTAAAAAAAAGTGGGGTCAATGTGCGCCGGACGCGTGGCACCTGGTGCCCGGTGGACAAGGCTGATCCACACACTACCGGACTCCTTGAGTTTGCCGAGTGTCCGAAACACTCAGCAAAAGACATAAAACACTCGGCAAATGGTTCGCCCAGTGTAACACTTTCGGCGTAACAAAGACTCGCCAAAAAAAATGATGGCAAGCAAAGCCAACTTTGTCGAGTGTCTTTTATCTAAGCACTCTAAGAAAGCCTTTGCCGCCGAAAGTGCCCGACACTCGGCAAAGTTGAAACCAAAAAAAACCGAAAAATGGGAATTTTTACCAAAAAAATGGATTTTTTTTTATCGATGGAGGCCCCACCGCCGGCGCCCACCCATCTACGACAATTTTGGCGTGAATTTCATGGTTCTGTGCCGATGCGATTCAACCCCGAGACCTCCCCGTCACGCACGCATTCTCCTCTACCACTACACCACACTCTCACTTCACGTATGCGGATTCCGTTTTAGTTCCCAATATATTATACTAAACCGAGTGTAAATTGCATGTTTGAGGCCCTAAACGAATTCAAATAAAAAAGTTGTAAACTACAAAGTTTCATAACTTTTCGAGATCTACACTTTTAGTTTAGGAAGTTTTTCCATCCGAGGTCGTTTATAAAATTTGAATTTTAAAATTTTGAAATTCAAACACAGTTTTGCATGACAAGATGTTTTCAAATCAAAAAGTTGTTAACTACAAAGTTTCATAACTTTTCGAGATCTACACTTTTAGTTTAGGAAGTTTTTCCATCCGAGGTCGTTTACAAAATTTGAATTTTAAAATTTTGAAATTCAAACACAGTTTTGCATGACAAGATGTTTTCAAATCAAAAAGTTGTCAACTACAATGTTTCATAACTTTTCGAGATCTACAGAGTTTATTTTGGTTGTTTTTTCATCCGAGGTCGTTTGAAAAGTTCGAATTTTAAAATTTTGAAATTCAAACGCAGTTTTGCATGACAAGATGTTTTCAAATCAAAAAGTTGCCAATTACAAAGTTTCATAACTTTTCGAGATCTACAAAGTTTATTTTAGTTGTTTGATCATCTGTTCCTCCGATATGGTCGTTCTAACATTGTTCACAAATCTTATACATCTCTCTTGTAGTTTCATAAACTACAAGAGAGATATGTTAGATTTGTGAATAAATTTATTTTTACTTTGTTGTATGAAGAAAAGACCAAAACAAACATTGTACATCTTGATGAGTTATACAACTTTGTAGTTGAAAACTTTTTCATTTGAATTAATTTACTGCTTCAAAATGTGCTTTGAAATTTTCTTTGCCGAGTGTAAAAAAAACACTCGGCAAAGAAGCTCTTTGCCGAGTGTCAAAAAAAAACACTCGGCAAAGAAGCTCTTTGCCGAGCGTAAACTGTTATGCCGTGAGTTGTGTCTTTGCCGAGTGTCGTCTTTGGGACACTCGGCAAACACCATGTTTGCCGAGTGCCCGAAATCTTGCCCACGGCAAAGGTGGGGACACTCGGCAACTTAGGTGTTTCCGGTAGTGACAGTAGCACCGACCTAGGTTCAACTCCCCATAGAAGTGATTTTTTTATGATTTAACAGCATTGCCTTTTAGGCGACATTCCCGTGGATAACGAGGTGTCTGTGATAATTTCGTCAATCTCAAAGGTTTGCGTGAGTACGTTTATATAGGTGAGTGTGCGTGGTTACAACGGCCGGCTAGACTACTCAATCAGACAAGAGGGTAGCTAGGCACACGCATGGAATTTATTCCTGCCCTCGCAGCAGCCTATTTATATGCAAAATACAAAAGCAATGGAGGAAAAAGGAAAAGGAAAAGCCAAAGGGGAAAGTACAAAAAGATACTTAGATGTCTAGAACGAAGCAAGGAATTAATTTTGCCAATAATGGTTAGGTTATCAGATTCTATTAGATGGATCGCGGTGAGAACTCCAATCCCATTGACATCCACCTGAGCACATTTGTGGACGGTGAGTATACACGCACTCTTGTGGCCGCTACAAAAGGGGATGTCCACAGCTTTGGGTTTGTCAAATGCGCCACAGATCTTCAAAGGGAGTTGGTGGATTGGATAACTTACCTGTCAAACAACTGTATACTACAGGATGCCGACGATCTTTGATTTGGAAGGACAACAATGCTGAGCTGCTTCAATGCATGAAGTTTGCCTGCTCTTGTGTGCTTTCTTCTCCAAAGGAAAGGCCTACAGTGTTTGAGGTTTACCAGCTTCTGAGAGCTGTTGGAGAGAAATATCATTTCAGTGCAGCTGATGATGAATTGACGATGCAACCTCAAAATGCCAATCCTGAAGATGAGCTTATTGTAGCAAACTAGTTGAACCTATGTGATGGGTAGGTGCTTGTCAGATACCAAATATGATAGGAGTTGCTTTAACTTGGAATAATCATGTTGATTAGAATGATTTCTCTATCTTTTATCAGGCAAGCACTAAGATTTGTGATTCTATTGTAATGTCTATCGATATGTGGTGTTTACATTTGTACATCCTTGCCTTGCTGTGTATCCTCCGGATTGTCCTCTTGTTGTGTTGTAAGATGGATCAGCTGTATCGTCATCCAAATTTTAGCTGTAGTGGTAGCAATGTGAAACATTGTTGGCCCATCAGTGATCAGTCATGCATCTGCAGCATTGTGGTGCTTTTCGTTTAGCATTTCTGTATCCTTTTCATACTCCTTTCTAAATTGAAATGTTAGACCAGTTCGAGAAGGTCTGGGACATGCTGGTTGGCACCTGGCCGGGTGTTTTGTTTCGTATATGCACGATGTGGTACTTATATATTACATTACATGATTTACATCCTGGGGCTTACGTATATAATTGGCGCATATTTCTTATTTGATTTGTGGTGCTGTTTTCCAACAGCCAGATGACGCTGCAGCCAGCAGCAGACCTCTCATATCATTTCTGTGTTTCACTCTGAGAGAGTGCTACTGAAATAAGTTTATGGAACACGTGTCCATCCCTAACAGAAGAATATTTAACCCTGCAGATGGAGATATGCATCCTTTTGACTAATGTATATTTCTTCCTCGAAAGGGCAGCACTTCTGTTTCCTGTCTACGACTCCAAATATAAAACCCATAAGTTTTGTTGCAAACAGTTACCTTTGAAAAAAATATGAATTATGATGACAAATCCTGTGGAACCTAACATATTTCTCATCAACAAAGTAGCAGAGTTGTAGGATGTCCAACTCGGAAATAAAATACTATCACTCATCTACACAGGCTTTATTACAGCGATTCCAAACTACCCAAAGAATAGTGCTGTTTGGCATATGCTACCCAAACATTTCAACATATGCTGTTCCCTTATGTTTCCAAACTACCCAAACATTTCAACATATGCTGTTCCCTTATGTTTCCAACATAAAGCAGATGGAACCAATAACTGAATGTGATGAAGCTAGACCTATTGAGGAGCTCTGAATTGAAAGTCCGACCCAACCGAAATCTAAGTTTCAAGATGGGCCATTCACCAAGAATCTTAGTGAGAATGGGCAGTAAAGACGTCAGAGTGCATACCGCAACGGCCAACCATAGGAGACGAGGAGCCAGAACAGTGTATATACCAGTTGCGAATGCTGTGGTGGTTGCCATGTATGCAAACCACATAAGCTTCTTTGTAAAAGACCTGTAGTGAAGCAGGAACTCAAGATCCTCCCACCTGGCTATGATGCATACAAAGGCAACAGCAAGTGAGGAGCACATAGCCAAGGTGTCGGAGATCAGGAATGCCTTAAACGCATACTTCCTTGCCATGATGGGAAGCCCCTCGGTTCCAGCATCAGTGCTATATCCTCCGGGCAAAGTGAAAGCAGCAGCAAAGGTAATGGTGGCAATGAGAATCGCCACCAGGGAAGTGTTGCCTCTATATGTTTGAGTCAGTGACTTGATATCCTCCCTAGATGATTTTGTCACTTTATGGTGGGCTTCCTTCCAGACATTATAAATATTTGTTGCGTCTTGAGGATCAGCTTTTAATATAAGCATGGATACTTCGTTCTGCATATAGAAAGATGCAAAAGGAGCTTGGTAACCATGATAGTCTAAATCTGATGTTTCAGGTAAGGAAGATGGATCGACACGCGCGTGCAGAGAAGATTGGCATAAGCACTGATTTTTTGTGGAGCAATTAAAGTAGTACTATACGTACTAATAATTAAGAAAACCTATATACGACGTAACGTACGTACCCACACTATGGGAAACAGGGCCTTTGCCGAGTGCAACTTTCTTTGCCGAGGACTAAAAGTCGGGCACTCGGCAAAGAGTTATTTTGCCGAGTGCCGCACTCGGCAAAGAACCCTCGGCAAAGCCATACACTCGGCAAAGGCCCTTTTTGCCGAGTGTCAGGTCCTCGGCAAACCCTGGCACTTGGCAAAAAGCGGCGTCAGTTAACGGCCGCCGCCTGCCGTCCAGGTTTGTCGAATGCTAGCGGGTAGGCACTTGGCAAACCACTTCTTTACCGAGTGCCAGACCCTGACACTCGGCAAAGAATAACAGCAAACTATTTTTTCCCCACTTTTGAACTCCAAAATTTTTCTCGAGTCCTCCTTCAGTATATGAGACTCCATGTTAAAATTTGGTACATTTTTATGGCTTTTTGCTATATATAATTTATTTCATTTAATTGAATTTTTTTAGAAAATGCAAATTTGAACTGCACGTGCATCGAATAATAGAAATTTAATGATTCAAAAAATGATATTCATGGTATTGAGTGTAGTGTGAGGCCGTATCTAGGAACGGACCGGAAATTTCGAACATCTTATTCACGAAACATGACCACGAACTTACGAACGAATTGTTTTTAAATTATATAAAATGCAAATGAAGTCCGAAAATCATGAAACTTATCGAGATGTCATGATATCATATGTGGAGGATGTGATAAAAATTTGAGAAGGTTTGGTGCACGTTATCACGTACAATGCTTATAAACCAGGACATCTCCACATGTGACATCTCCACGTTATCTGATATCACATATGGAGATGTCCTGTTTGTAAGCATCGTACGTGATAACGTGCACCAAACCTTCTCAAATTTTTATCACATCCTCCACATACGATATCATGACATCTCGACAAGTTTCATGATTTCGTTTGCATTTTATAGAATTTAAAAACAATTCATCCGCAAGTTCGTTTCGTGAACAAGATGTTCGAAATTTCAGGTCCGTTCCTGGATACGGCCTCACACTACACTCAATACCATGAATATCATTTTTTGAATCATTAAATTCCATTATTCGATGCACGTGCGGTTCAAATTTGCATTTTTCAAAAAAATTCAATTAAATGAAATAAATTAACTAAATATAGCAAACAGTTCGAGAAATGTACCAAATTTCGACATGGAGTACCAAGTACTGTAAGAGGACTACAGAAAAAGTTTGGAGGTCAAAATACAAAAAAAATATTTGGTTTGCCGAGTGTCATCTTTTGACACTCGGCAAACATGCTCTTTGCCGAGTGCCAGCTGCCAGGCACTCGGCAAAGAGCCTGCCAAATTTTTTTAAAAATGTTTGCCGAGTGCTTCTCCGCCTGGCACTCGACAAAGTGGTATTTTTTTTTAAAAACGATGCAGTACGGTTTAGGGTTTAGATTTCAAAAAAAAGGAAAACACGTTTGCCGAGTGCCCTGATCTGGCACTCGGCAAACCGGCGGCCCATCCACACTTAGACAAACCGGCCACCCAACCGTTATCTCCCTCCCTCCCACACACGCACACACACGACGCGCCGCCGCCCCGCTTCGCCGCTTGCCGCCGCCGTCCGGCATCCGCCATCCGCCCGCCGACGCCGCCGCGCCGCTCACCATGGCGCGCTCCGCCGCCTTCAGACGCGCGGCGCGCGCCGCAGCATGCCCCCCATGCCCCACCGCCGCCTTCGCGCCGCCCATTGCCGACGCTGCCGCCGCCCGCCCACGCCGCCGACGCGCCGCCTCGCCGCCAACAAGCTGGCGGTGCACTTCACAGCGTATTCCCCGCCGCTCGTAAGCCGGCCCACACCGCACAAGACTTCTCCTCCGCCGCCCGCCGGACACATGGGGTTCACGCGGCGCCCGCCGCTCCAACCCCACGGCCCGCGCCCCGGCCTACGGCAGCGCCGCCCCGGCCCTCTCGGCGCGACCCCGACCGCCGAGGCCATCCTCTCCCCGTCCCCAGCGTGCCTCGGCCGACCCCAATGCCCCAACGTCCTCCCAGCCCCCGACACCATAGGTGAGTAGTAGAGTAGCAGTGGTAGTATGTTTTAGTAGAAGTAGAGTTCGGTAGAGTAGTAGTAGTAGGTGGTTGTGGTGGTGGTAGTAGTTGTACAGTAGGTGGTTGTGGTGGTAGTAGTAGTAATAGGTGGTGGTGGTGGTGGTGGTTGTAGTAGTAGAAGAGTAGAGTGGCGGTGGTGGTGGTGGTTGTAGTAGTAGAAGAGTAGAGTGGCGGCGGCGGCAGCGGTGGTGGTGGATGAATGTGACTTGGCAATGATATGTTGAATTGAATGCATATGTATATGTGGTTGTCGGCCATCGTGCCGTATGTTTTTTTTGCAGGTTTTGGATACCTCACCGTGCAGGGGAGGTTCTGCTGAAATTTTGAACTGAGATAGTATTTTGTTCTTTTTTTTGCAGAGAAGAGCCGTCGTAGCCGAGCCAGAGTATATCGGCGACCCTGATCGTCTTCCTCGCCGCTACGGGTCTGCCTGCACCGCGTTGCCTCGCCACTGCACTGACCCACCATGGCCCCGCTAGCCTGACTCCACCGCCACCCTAGGTATAACCCCTCTTTCCGTATCATGGTCGTAGATCGGGCAACTCAGTTAGGCGTCTCCCGTTCGAAAGAGATACGGTTGGAGGTATGCAGATCTTTCAATATCTACGACCGTATCTGTTTTGGATTGTCCATGTTTTTTGGATAGCCCGCGGATGCGTAGATGGGTTAGTTTTCACGGTCTGTTCCGATCCGAGATAGAGTTTCGGCATCACCTCCGTGTTGTTCTCCGGATACACACTCTCCCTAGCAAGACGTGTATCTAGAGAACAGCGTGGAGGTGCTGCCGAAATTCTATCTCGGATAGGAGTAGACCATGGAGACTAACCTCATCTACGCATCCGCGGGTGGGATTAGGACCTATCCTCACCTATTAGACGGTAGGAACACCATGTAGATGCAATTGATGGTTACTTTGCTCGGTGATATATATGTTAGAGGATGGATGACCGTCAGTGGATGTACACGGGCCGGAGAAGTCAGAGTGATTACACCAATGAATGGATGAACAAGACCAATGATTTCTTGAACCGTGTATTTGGCAAGGCAGCTAAATCCCCGAGTCTAGTTTTATGTCCCTGCAACAAATGTGCAAACAAGAAAAGGGTAAACAAGCACAACATGGGTAAACATCTTTTGAAGAATGGATTTACGCCGGACTATACCTGGTGGGTCCACCATGGTGAAGCCCATTGTATGAGAGAGGAGGTGGTGAGACCACGCGTCGAGGCTTATGATGCTGATGCCGGGGTAGCAGACATGTTAGATGATGCTCACCAAGCACAGTTTGCTGAAAGGACGTGAGGAGGAGATGGAGGCAGCCGCACAGGCGTTCTACGACATGATGGACTCGGCACAGAAACCCCTTCATGATCGGACAACGGTTTCTCAACTGCATGCCATTAGACGCGTAATGGGGTTGAAGTCCGAGTTAAACCTAAGTCGAGAAGGCTTCGATAAGATGTTGGCCATGATTGGCACCCTGCTTTCGGTGGGCCACGTTCTGCCAAAAAGCTTGTACGAGTCACAGAAACTCCTTCGTGCACTTAAAATGCCATATGAGCAGATACATGCTTGTCCGAATGGCTGCGTCCTATTTAGGAAAGAACACAAGGATGCAAAGTACTGTCCAAAGTGTAAATCCTCCAGGTACCTGGAGGTAGACTCTAGTGATGGCCAGAAGAGGCAGCTTACGATCCCCGTGAAAATCCTACGGCACCTTCTGTTTCTACCAAGGATCCAACGGCTATACATGACCGAGAAATCCGCGAAACAGATGACATGGCACAAAAAGGGCAAACGTTACAATGTTGGCAAGATGGTACATCCATCCGATGGTGAAGCATGGACCCGCTTTGACGACAAACATCGTGAGAAAGCTGACGAGGCTCGTAATGTACGTGTTGCGCTGGCAACAGATGGGTTCAATCCTTATGGACTGATGTCGGCCCCATACACTTGTTGGCCCGTGTTCGTTATCCCCCTCAATCTTCCCCCCGGTGTCTCCTTTCAATGACAGAACGTATTCTTGTCGTTGATTATTCCTGGACACCCAGGGAGTAATATGGGAGTGTTCATGGAGCCTATGATCGATGAATTGGTCCATGCTTGGGAGGAAGGGGTATGGACAAACGATCGAGCTACAAAGACAAGCTTCAAAATGCACGTTTGGTACCACTACTCCCTGCATGACTTCCTAGTGTATGGGTTATTCTGCGCCTGGTGTGTTCATAGGAAGTTCCCATGCCCAATATGCAAGGAAGGTCTGAGGTTCATTTGGTTGTAGAGGGGTGGCAAGTATTCGTCATTCGACAAACATCGTCAATTCCTCCCTCTTGACCATCCATTCAAACAAGACATCAAGAACTTTACGAAAGGTGTCGTAGTGTCAGACCCTGCACCGCGGATGATGACTGGTGCCGAGGTTCATGCTCAGATAGATGCTCTCGTGGCCAATCAAGAAGGTGGTTTCGTGGGATATGGTGAGCAACATATGTGGACTCATAAGTTGGGCTTGACGAGGCTCCCCAATTTTGATGACCTTCTTCTGCCACATAACATTGATGTAATGCACACTGAAAAGAATGTCGCTGAGGCACTTTGGGCAACACTCATGGACACTGAAAAGTCTAAGGACAACCATAAGGCTAGAGAGGACCTGGCAACGTTATGCGATAGACCAAATCAAGAGATGCAGCCTCCTAGAGGAGGCAACACTCATGGACAATGAAAGGGTTGATGACGAGGACGCTGGAGATGAGGTGCAAAATGTGAAGGACTTCGAAATGCTTGAGCGATTACGTTTAGGCAATGATGATGAAGACAACATTCCTCCTTCGAATAGTGTTGATTATTTGGGCAATGACAATGTTGATAGTGATGATGAGACCTATGATCCAGCTAATCCCAATCATGAAGATTATTTCTAATACATGTAATACTATGTTTTTGTAATTATGTTTTGTTTATTTTGCATCTATTTCTATTTCTAATTACGTCTTGTTTATTCTTTTTAATTACAGGTGATTGAACAAAGATGGCGGGCCGAAGTGACCGTCACAGGGACGTGTCCTCGCTTATGCCGCTGTAGGTGAGGGGCCGTCGGATAGGAGGAGGAGGAGGAGCAGCGGCCGCAGGAGGCAGCCGCTGGCGCCTCCTACCACACAGCGTGAGGAGGACGAGGAGGAGGCGAGGCCCGGGGACGACGACGAGCTAGTTCGGCAGACGGACGAGGAGGAGGGGGCCACGAGGGGGAGGGGACGCACGAGGAGGATGGTACGGGTTCTGCTTCCTCTGGTTCGACCAACGTCTACTTGCGAGGTCCGGCGAGCCTCCCTCTGGTTCCGCTTCCTCACGAAAGCCCAATGATTCGCCCTGAAGGGCAAAAGTAAGTAACTTAAGATTTAATCACCACCACTTCATATGATATGTTGAAAATCGATAGAGAAACTAATAATTTTTCTTAATCACTTGTGCAGGAACTGGACGATTGTGTCGGGTGGTGGTCACGGACGCCCGATCAATGGTGTCCTGGGTCTTCTGTGCAGGCAACACTAGCTTGGCCTGGTTGACTACGCCAGCAGGAGGGAGCCGCCCTGGATGTTTGATCACTATGCCGCCGCACCTACCAAAGCCTGTAAAAAACTCGTCATCGACATGCATCATGAGACGTGCATCCAAGCCATCATAACCTACTACGGCTCAAAACTTGGAGAGAAGGTCAGCAAAGAAGAAGCAAGAAAGATGACGCTGACCCGGGACCAGTACCTTGAGGTAGATAAAGAACATTAATATTGATTTGTTTTGAGCTTAAGTTGGTTTAATTTGATCTTTTTATATGTCAAATACTTGATGATGTGTAGATGTGTCCCTGGTGGTGCTCCTCGTATCCTGAGTGCTGGGCGATGATCGTGGACAAGTGGTTCACGCCCGGGTGGGCCGGGACGCACGATGCTGCCCGGGAGCGGCGTTTGCAGATGCAAGGTCCAGCACACCATCAAGGCAACCGCAACCTCGCCGGATACAAACAATTATGGGTACGCGAATTCATTTATCTATTCTAACGCTCAATTATGCCTGATTTCTAATCATCTTGCTGTCTTTATCGCAGTCGGAGGCACATGGTGGCCAGCAATGCTCCGACTTCCAGGCATGGTGTATGTCCCACAAGGGCAAAGCGACGTCCGGCGTCTCCTACAACCCGGAGGACCCGCCCGAGGCATACACCAACCCGAGCGTTCACACCCGCATCAGTGAGTACACGTCGGCGGCAAGGTCGATCCATGGGCCAGAGTACGACCCGAGCACCGAGGACATTGATGCAGAGATCGTCATGAGGGTGGGTGGAGGCAAGAAGCATGGGCGGTACTGGCTTGGTGACAGCGTCATCGACTCGACCTCTACTCCCTCTCTCTCCCAGATCCGAGCATGGAGCACGAGCGCAAGCCCGGCCATACGGCCACAGCCAAGCGCTTCACAGCAACGGGTCGACGCACTCGAGGTTATTCCTCTTTTACTCGTCGTACATTGATCTTTACACACCTTAATTAGCTTTGCATTACTGAAACATTGGAGTGAAATATTGCAGGCCCGGCTGGATGAAGAAGCAAGGCAACATCAGGACCTAGCGGCCCAGCTGCAGTCCGAGCGGGCCGCGCGAGAGGCCGAGGCGCAGAGGATGTCGGAAATGATGTAGTTCATGCAGACTCTTGGGCAACATACGGGTCTAGCTATGCCACCTGGGCTGTTCGCTCCACCTCTGACTCCTGCAGCTGCAGCTACTCCTGTGTGTTTTCGCTTGTGCTTTGCTTGTATGACCTAGATTAGCTATCCAAGTAATCTTGTCTAACGCATGCAATCTCTTCTCCTTTGTGCAGCCTCAGTCGGAGGGTTCAAATAATCCAGCTCATGCGTCTCCGACTCATCCAGCTTTTCCTTCACAAGGCACTCAGTTTCCACCTTGGTGATGAGTAGCATTAGTTGTATTTGCATTTGTTGTTCACATGGTGATGGATTTCTGATATACTTGTCATGCACTAGTGGTATATTTGGATAACTGTGATATATGTGATAGATGTTTGGATTGATGTATGTGATATATTGTGATGAATGTGATATATGCGATGGATGTGATAAATATGTGATGTATGTTTGGATGGATGTGAGATATATGTGATAATTTGTGTTTGTCGTGATGGAATGTAAAAAATGAATAAAAAAACTGGTTTTGATCAATTTGCCGAGTGCAATGGTCACTGCACTCGGCAAAGCTAGAAAAAGGGGCGCCAACCCGTTTCCCAGCTTTGTCGAGTGCCATGGCACTCGGCAAAGAATTGTTTAAAAAAAATAAAAAACTTTGCCCAGTGTCACCCATCCGGCACTCGGCAAAGAAATTTTTTAAAATAAAATAAAAACTTTGCCGAGAGCCACCCGTCCGGCGCTCGGCAAAGAAATTTAAAAAAAATAAAAATAAAAAACTTTGCCGAGTGCCATCCCGGACGGCGCTCGGCAAAGAATTAAAAAAAATAAAAATAAAAAACTTTGCCGAGTGCCAGCCCGGGCGGCGCTCGGCAAAGAATTTTAAAAAAAATGAATAACTTTGCCGAATGCCGTCCGGGTTGGCACTCGGCAAAGCCGCCGTCACCGTTTCCTGCGCCGTGACGGCTCGTTTTCTTTGCTAGCTCTCGGCAAAGGCTGCTTTGTCGGCAATTTTTTTCCTGAGAGTCCTTTGTCGAGTGCGGCACTCGGTAAAGCCTTTGCCGAGTGTATTTAGGGCTTTGCCCGTAGTGCCAGTTTGAAGTCTTGGAATGGTCGGTGACATTACGTAATTTCCAGGTTGCATTGGTTGCGCTGTTGTTAAGCACTGTGACGTCTATGTCTGGGTGAAGCAGTAAAGCAGCGACCATCTTCGGATTGCACTTTTGGACTGCGAGGTGCAGAGCAGTATCTCCATTTTTATCTCGCATGTTAATGAGTCTACCGAATTGTGGCAAACCCAGGACAAAATCTACGAACTCCATCTGTCCTGCCCACACAGCTTGGTGCAGACATGTCCAGCCATTTGTTTCAGCAAGGGGCGCATCTGCTCAATGTTTAAGAAGCTCTCGGGCAACGCCAACATGGCCTCTGAATGCAGCACAGACAAGAAGAGGGACACCATGTGAGGAGGCTACATACCCTAAAGACCGATCATGATCCAACAGTACACTTAGCACGTCAATCTTGTCCCGAAGTACAGCCAGGTGCAGTGGAGTGTTGGTACTCGTGTCTTCTTCTGTTGCGAGCGCAGGACGTGTCTCCTTAATCTGTTTAGCGATAGCTGCAAATCATGTAAGTAATCAAATTAAAGAAGGTCAAACATCCATCGAATGACGACATGTGTGATATGATGGGGTGGTAATAAATTAAAGGGCACGTCTGTTTTGTATCTGTGTTCGGCCCAAGCCATATTTGACAAGCTAGTCGGAAAAATTTTGGCACCCATTTGCATTGGTTAGTGGCCAATATAGTTTGACATGCCCCAGCTAACTAATATTTGCCATGCCCAGCTTTGGAATGAGGAGGACATTGCACGGGCCATCATGCATGCATTTTGCTCGGCTAGATCCGGCATCCGGGCTCGCGGATCCGTCCACCAACAGCGGCGAGGGCGTGGATCCGGCCACCACCGACGCGGATCCTGCAACCAGCAGCGGCGTGGGCGTGGATCCGACCACCAGCGGCAGCACGACGTTCCCGGAAGCGGGCCCAGCGTTGGGCCTGAGAGTGGGCTCGGCGTCGGGCCTGATTTTTTTTTGTTTTTTTATCGATTTACCGAGGCGGGCGTTATAAGGCGCCCGCCTCCGCTAACTGATTAACCGAGGCGGGCAAGGCAACCGCCTCCATTATTCACGGATTAACCGTGACCTTTCGATGGAGGCGGTTGCCTTTGTCCGCCTCCGAAAATAAAAAAAACGTCCGCCTCCATTAAGTTTATTGTAAGTAATGTAGGAAGGATAGTAAAAAAGGCAATCTTCTCTGTCATAGATTGGCTTGGCCACAAAATGGAAACAGCTTTTTTATTGCCCTGTTTTGTTATTCCCCAGAAATTTTTTAATTGGCTCACTCACTTGGCATGGACTAAAACCCAAAAGAATAATAGTACGTCACCCCTTACACAGATTTTAGTTTCTCGAAAAAAAGAAGCAGCAAAAAGGTATAGGACCAGGCATGTCTCACCTGAATTTCCATTTCTCACCGCAGCATGAAGAGCATTCTGGCCCTCCATCCCCCCATGAGCAGAATCAGGAATCTCCAACAGTTTCTCGGAGACATCCTTGTAATTTCTCATCACCGCGATGAACATGGGTGACTCATCGTATTTGTTCACAGCTTTGGACAAAGCAGGCTCCACTGCGATCAGCTCCAGCGCAAGTTCACTGTGGCCGGCTTCGGATGGCGTGGTGCAGTGCATTGTTCCCTTTCTTGTCTTGCATCAAGATTGCCTCGCTCAGATGGAGATCACGGTAGCACCTGAGAAAAGATGAAGCTAAAGTGGTACTGGTACGGCCACTTGTCACTGCTGCGACAAGTGGAGTCTCCCTGTCATTGTTGACAGCGGAGAGGAGCGACCGGCTCAGGGCCGTGACATCCATGCAGAATCCATCATGGCCATGCACGGCGGAGATGTGGAGGCAGGTGTTGCCCTGTGGAGTTGTTCCAAGCAGCACGGCTGGGTCATGAAGGGCCAAGTGTTTCATCATTGTCGCGTCACCAGATGCCGCGGCATCAAGCAGCCGGCTGTCCATCATCGTTGTCCTTTTCCCTAGATATAAATAATACATTGTTGGATCGAAAATCAGTATAATGTTCCAGAAAAGTATTGAACTGTCTGCTCAATAATTGTCAGTAATAACGAAACAGGAACGGAATTGAATCGGCCGTCCGTTTGTGCACATATTCAGATTCTAATTAATATGCACACGACAGTATACAATATCTCACCCACCCATTACACAGGGTTAAACACGCACCACAATGCTCACCAGTTACTAATTTATGCACCACAGCACCTACTAATGTGCTTCCTATATATTATGAAAGTATATGCTTATAAAGGATTAACTCGTTGTTGGCCCCTTGGATCAAATAAGCTCTAATTTGTGGGAGGTATAACAAACAAGGATATTTTAATACCTGCTTCCATAATTTGGCAGTAGGGATGAAAACGGTACCGAAATATTCCGAACCGACCGCTTTCGTTTTCTATATTATGATACCGTTTTCTATATTATGATATCGTTTCTGAATTTTGCCAAACATAAAAATTTGTCATTTTCAATTGGTTTGGCAACCATTTTCAACCAATTTTTGTACTCTTTAATTGCTAAAATGTAGAGATATTCCGAACCGACCGCTTTCATTTTCTATATTGTAATACCGTTTCCGACCGTTTTCATCCCTATTTGGCAGTTGGCAGCTGGACGTTGATGGAGGCAGGCATGCAAGGAGAAACAACAACTGTTAGATCGATCAACGCAGCCAACACTACGGGATACAGTTGCTTTGCCCAATGCTAGGGGTGGCAGATCTAGGGGAGGGGCGCCGCCGGTGAGGGAGGGGAGGGGCGGGGCAGCGGATCCGGGGGAGATACTTGTTTTCCTTGTCCGGTTGTCCCTCGCAGCAGCCTTGTTATAAACACAAGTTACACAGAATGAAGCAAAGAAACGATTGTTCTAATATAATAGTTACTGATGTGGTTGTCAGATTTTGTTTTGTTTGGCTCGGAGTCCGACCATAGGACAACGAGAAAAGCATTGATCCAGCGTCGGGACATCCTTGCAGAATTCCTCGTGGCCCTGGATGGTAGAGATGTCCCTGTGGAGTTGCCCCAAGCAGCACGCCAGGATCGTTAAGAGCCAGCAGTTGCTTCATCGATGGAAAGTCACCAGATGTGGCTGCTTCCAGGAGACGCCGGTCCATACTGACGAACTCATGATGGCCGGCCGCCGTGAGTTCGTCAGGGGAAGCATCTATGGATGGCCGGCCGCTGTGACAAATTAAACTGGATTCTAAAGCACGTCATATTGTTTGATGAGGATATAATCATTGCATATTAGTATCTGCAGCAGTTACACTAGTATTTAATGATTTTGGTAATAAACATATACACTAGTAAATGTTTCCCATCGATATACGTGGATGGGTGCATTTGGCAGTGAAACTGCGGGGCTACTTTACTTATATTTTTTCTAATAACAAAAGATGAACAATAGCTCTTGGTATGTTGCATATACACACCCTATCATCAATAGAAGTTTTAATATAAGGAATAAGGATACCCATATATAATACCTGGCTGCTGAATATGGCCCCTGTAGTGTGGACGCAATACAAGTGATGAGGCAAGGAGCTACAACGGTCTAGACTATTCAATTCAATCAGTAAAGAGGCTAGCTAGGCACACGCAAGGAAGTTGTCCCACGCTGCGGCCTCTTTATATACAAAATACAAACGCAATGGAGGGAAAAGGAAAAGCGAAAGGGGAAAAGAAAAAAAGAAAGATACATAGATCTCAATATACAAGTCATGAGGCAAGGAGTTACAACGGCCGGCTAGACTACTCAATCAGACAAGAGGGTAGCTAGGCACACGCATGGAATTTGTTCCTGCCCTCGCAGCAGCCTATGTATATGCAAAATACAAAAGCAATGGAGGAAAAAGGAAAAGCAAAAGCGAAAGGGGAAAGTAAAAAAAGATACTTAGATGTCTAGAACGAAGCAAGGAATTAATTTTGCCAATAATGGTTAGGTTATCAGATTCTATTAGATGGATCGCGGTGAGAACTCCAATCCCATTGACATCCACCTGAGCACATTTGTGGACGGTGAGTATACACGCACTCTTGTGGCCGCTACAAAAGGGGATTGTCAAATGCGCCACATATCTTCAAAGGGAGTTTGGTGGATTGGATAACTTACGTGTCAAACAACTCTATACTACAGGATGCCAACGATCTTTGATTGGGAAGGACATCTGTTACAGAATTATGCATTTTCATTATCAATTTAATCCAGAAATATAACAACAGCAGGTTCGTGACGGCATATATGTGAATGTGTATATTTCTAACGAACGCTACAGCATGCAAACATGACATACAGATGAATATAGTAAAAGCGCAAAATACAGTAATCACAGAGATTAGATTGTACCCAGCGGAGGGTCCCATGCCGAAGGCATCAGAGGCTTTTATTAGCACTAGTCGACATAGTGCATTGTTCGAAGTCGTGGACCACAGTCGATACAGGACGATGTTCGCAGTGCAGTCCCACGAACGGATCACCAGGTAGAAGACACCTTGCTGTTCCGCAGGCAATCACCGGGAAGAAGACAGGTTCCGAGCGATCACCACCAGGAAGAAGGCGTACGTGGACGAGCAGTCGCGGATCACTCCCCAAAAACGTAATCGCCGCACACCCCATGCAAGGTTCTCAGGCGGACGAGGGTTCCAGAGGCACCTGCTCTTCCACTACTCCGTGCGCGCAGAGATACCGGTCGGGGAAGCTAGAGGGCTGCTGAGATGTGGATTCTCTTGGGAGCGGTTGCGAAAGACGGAGATCTGGACTGACGGTGGACTACGGATATATGGCTGCGACAGGAAGGGAGAAAGACAGCGGAGAATCCCAGGAGACGGAGAAGCGAAAGGAATGGTAACTGATGTAATCAGTTCGCCTCCACCATCAAAGGGAGAAACTCCCGTGATTATGTGGATTAAGTGGCAAAAGAGTAGCCATGCTCACCCGCTCGCTCGCCACCCACCTGCCCGCCTGCCACGCCACGCCACGCCACGCCACGGCCTGGCCCGGCCAGCGGTGGTGGCGACGGCGGCGCGCGCGCGTGTGGCACGCCTTTATCCTTTTCTCAGCTTCTCAATTAAGATGAATAATTTCCAACCATATAACGTTCAATCAAAATCCCGTATGGTATTAAACCATACAATGATTAATGTTATAGACCATAGAGTTTTATTTGATTTATTAAATATTATACGGCCAAGCCCATAATATATCCAACAATCCCCACCAAACCCTAGGGTTTATAATAAAGTAGTCTCAGAACCACATTTGTTTTATATACCAGTGTTTCCTTGGATACTGTTAAGTTGAATATTCATCTAGAACAATAGTTTCACCCAGTCACAACTGAACAATGGACTAAGCCTTGAATTGACAGTTTTGTGTGAGGTGAATGTCACTAAAGTCCTTAGCTGATACTAGGCAGCAAAAGACATCCCCTCTATTTGAAGCATATAAGTCATACTTTAGTGCCTTTCATGAGTATTTAGATATTACCCAAATTTCGTACACTGTGACCAGCAGTCTAACTCATGTAGGTGTGCTCCTCAAAAGATGTTCTGTAGGATAACATCTTTGCTTTAGCAAGCCACTTGGAACACATTAAGGTAAAAACCAACCTTCCTTATAGATAGGAAAGATATGCATCAGAAATGAGTCTTACTAAGGATCTTTCCTCATAATTTACTATTAACTTGTTTTACCATCTTACTTCACGGGATCTCCGATCACATAGAACAGGTTATCACTATAGTAAATTTCAAGTGGGTCTCAAACCCATCTCTCTCGATCCACTTTCTATCACATTACGTGACAGACCCTTAGTGAATTGATCTGCCAGATTGTTTGACGTGTGAACATAGTCCAACGCTATTACTTCAGAGTTTCTTAATTTTCTGATAGATTTTAGTCGTCTCTTAACATGCCTTGTGGACTTCATGTTGTCCTTAGAACTGTTAACCTTTGTAATCACAGTCTGGTTATCGCAGTTCATAAAAATAGCCGGTATAGGTTTTTCAACAACCGGTAAATCCATAAGGAGATCATGAAGCCACTCGGCCTCAGAGCCAGCGGTGTCTAATGCTGTGGGTTCTGCTTCCATTATAGACTTCGTTAAGATAGTCTGCTTGCAAGACTTCTAGGAAACAGCGCCACCTCCAAGCGAAAACACATATCCACTTGTGGCATAAAGCTCATCAGCATTAGAGATCCAGTTGGCATCACAATAGCCTTCCAGCACTTTCGGATATCCAGTATAACGAATACCATAGCTCATGGTGTCTTTTAGATAGCGCATCACTCTCTCAAGAGCATGTCAGTGATCATCTCTCGGGTTTGACACAAACCGGCTCAGCTTGCACACAGCAAATGAGATGTCAGGCCTTGTTGCACTAGCAAGATACATGAACGAACCAATGATTTGGGAATATCTCAACTGATCCCTTGCTATTCTCTAATTTTTCCTCAATAGCACACTCGGGTCATAAGGTGTAGGAGCAAGTGCATAGTCACTAAACCCAAAGCGACTCAGCACCTTTTCCACATAGTGGGATTGTAATAGAGTTACCCCACCATCACCTTCTCTCAGAAGCTTGATATTAAGAATAACATCAGCCTCTCCCAAATCTTTCATCTCAAAATTATTAGTTAAAAATTCCTTCACCTCGTCAATCACTTTGAGGCTAGATCCAAAGATCAGTATGTCATCAACATATAAGCACAAAATGACTCCTTCACCCTCACCATACCGATAGTACACATATTTGTCAGCTTCATTCACAACAAAGCCAGCTGATGTTAAAGTTCTGTCGAACTTCTCATGCCACTGCTTAGGAGGTTGTTTCAGGCCATATAATGACTTTAATAATTTACACACCTTGCCTTATTGACCATTTGCTACAAACCCATCCGGCTGATCCATATAGATCTCCTCCTCCAACTCTCCGTTTAGCAAA